GAAGGAAGGAAGGAAGGAAGGAAGGAAGGAAGGAAGGAAGGAAGGAAGGAAGGAAGGCTCCCAGAGCTAGATCAAACAGCAGCCTAAGCTGAAATCAGAACTGTGTTTGTATGGGTCAACCACAACTCCGTTGTGTCCGAACTCAGCTTCTGCTTTTGTCCAGTTGTCTACACCAGCGTTTCTCAACCTTTTTGAATCCGCGCACAGTGTTGAATATAGCTGTTGTTCTCAGTGGCACACTGAAAAATTATTAATCGTCTATACATTTTTTTAAATGTGTAAAACATGGTTTGAGGGAAGTCACACAATTTTTTAAAATATCTGCACTGTATTGAATTTACGGATTATATAGGATATATTTAATACCAAAAAAAATGGAAGAAAAATCTCCTGGCAGACTAGAAACAAGCGCATGGCACACCTGTGTGCCATGGCACACCAGTTGAGAACCACTGATCTGTACAATTAATTGTTCTGTGTGAACTTAGCTCCTTATTGGTCAACTCCTTTTAAATATTTTGCTTGTTTTTATTTGTACAGCCCTGGGAAAGTTTACTCAGAATTAATACCTAATGTGTTCAAAGGCTCTCTTCCCAGATAAATAGAGTATAGTCTAGACTCCAGCCCTGGGATATTCTGGTGGTCCCCCATCCAGATATTTATTAGGACTGACTCTGCAAACAAAGTTAGCCAGATGCCATTATCTGCTTGAGGAACTTTTGGTGGTGTACTACACATAAATCCTTCCTTCCTTCCTTCCTTCCTTCCTTCCTTCCTTCCTTCCTTCCTTCCTTCCTTCTCCTTTCTCTACCCTTTTCCTTCCTTCCTACCTTCCTTCCTTCCTTCCCTCCCTCCCTCCCTCGTGCAGTTGCTTGGAAGAGGGTTCCTAAGGCTCTCTTGGCTTGAGTAGCCAAGCATACTTTAACCTGGTCTGTTCTGTGACCCAAGCTATATGGGTTGATTTAGTGTAGTGCATAAACCTAGGAGGTTGGGCAAACAGAATACCAGTAGTCCTCGACTTACGACGGCAACTGGGACTGGAATTTCCATCGCTAAGCAATGTGGTTGTAAAGCAATGGCAATCCCTGCAGTCCCAGTTGCTGTTGTTAACCAAATCCCAGGGTCGTTATGCGGGGCCA